CGTCAGACCCTTTAACTCAAAGTTATGGCCCTTGATTTGTTATGCAGTATATATATAGAGCAATTATCGCTTTGCAACTACTGGCTGGAATTCAACGAAACTTTATGGGAACCTTCAGTACCAAGAGGAGATGCGCATGTCGTCGCATTGTTCTGGTCAGACCTTTTAACTCAGAGTTATGGTCCTTGATTATTTATGAAGTATGCATATAGAACAATAATCGTTTCCGCGCTACTTTTCTGCAATTACTGGCTGGAATTCAACGAAACTTTATGGGAAACTTCAATACCAAGAGATGTGCATATCGTCGCCTTATTTTGATCAAATGGTATCTGACATTTATCCGCATGAACTACAACTTAATAAAACGAACTCTTGAAATTTTAGTACATCATTTTTGGATCTTCATATTACTATCAACAACAATTCTATTCACACGAAAATCTATGATAAAAGAGATGACTTTGATTTTTGTATAGTTAATTATCCACATTTAGATGGAGACGTACCTCATGCAACATCTTACGGAGTTTATGTTTCTCAGTAAATTAGATTCGCTAGAGCTTGTAGCAACGTAAAGGATTTCAACGAGCGGAACATTTTTATTACCAGCAAGCTTCTAAAACAGGACTACCGCTATCATAAATTACGGAAATATTTTACTAATTTTACAATCGTAACTTTGATTTAATTTTTAAATTCAATAGTGATTTAAAAACTCTTCTGCGACAAGGGATTAGCCAGTCTGGTTTTTATGGCGATGTGATTTACAAACTTCGTAAGATTTTGGGTCATGGTAATTTTTCTGCTGTTTTTACTAAAATAATTAAACGTTTTATTAAAAGAGGTTATGACCCTACTATTTTAAGACATACTGCATGTTTACACTGAACAAAAGTTCTAACCGATCACCCTGAGTTTTCGCTTATATATGAAAAAGAATAATACCAATAGATCCGACTTTTATTTTATTTCGAAGAGAATGAACACATTGAGAATAATAAAATTATAACATTTTTCTATTTAAATAATACTTTATCGATATTTTTAAAAAAAAATATTTTTATGAACAGCCACTCACCTGTCTGATAGAGGCTCCAGCATTCAACATTCCAACTGCTACGGCACGATCCTGCATCAACATTCGTGCCATGTTTTATGTTTTTTTCACTTATAAAGTTAACAAGGATTTATGCAATGTAAAATTTAATACTCACCACGCTCTGCACGAACATTTCGTGCCAAAATGTGTAAACCGCGCCCTGTCTCCCGCGTGAGTGCATGGAACCGTATTAAATTCTTTCCACAAATCGGTAGAGAATGACACAAAAATCACCTCTGCAAAATTTTATAAGGATCTATTGACCCGCTATAAAATAATCAAAATTTAAAAAGTGATCGGTTAGAACTTTTGTTAAGTGTAGTGTTCAACCCTTTTACAGTTGGACACTACGCTTTCCTCTTTTGATTACATCTGACGGACCAAGTGGGAGACTCTTTGATGGATAGTTCGTAAGCCCTTTGGGACTGAATTGTCTTAATGTTCGTCTTCTGCCTTGCTTCGTCGGGCCCTTATAGGTGATTTTCTTGTTGCTCTGTCTTCCTTTAGGACATTGAGTACTTTTGTTATGGTCATTGGGTTTACTTTTATATGTTTCTACATGATCATTTTAGTGTTTTACTTATTTAACCTTTTGTAACCACCATGACAACTGTTAGAATTTCACTTGGCCGGGATTCATTTTATTTACACTGTCTCGTTTATAGGAACATGGTGGGGCTAAGAGCGAGGTTTGGTGCACCATTAACCGGTTTAAACTTCCCAGCAGTCATTATTATGCTGCTGACCGTTCCAAGGCGGCGCCCCTCTGTGTTCCTCAGATGTATGTCTATGTTGTTTCATACTGTTTTGGTGACCTGGTGCTTGTGCCCCTTGTTGTTTTCTCGTCTACGGTAAGTATCTTCCCCATTACCTCTAGTTTTTATTTCTTTGATTAACCCCCCCCCCCCCCCTTCCCCCGGTCTCATGTCCCCTTCCCCTTTGTGGGCCTATTATTCAATCATTTATTTGTTTTCTTTGAATTCCTAATCAGTTACAAATTATTTATAATTTTGTGATTAACCTGTCCGTGCTCTGTCTTTGCCCTGTCCTGTCTTTGTTTGGGGTCCGCCTGGGCTCCGTGCCACTGGTTCTTGTTGCTGGGTCATATGGGGGTTGCGTTCATTGAACGCCGCCTTTCCTTATTGATCTTGTTTATCATATTTTTTGTTACGGTCAGACCCTATCTCAGAGTTATGACCCATGATTAGTTATGCAGTATGCATTTGGAGCAATAATCGTTTCCGCGTTACCTATCTGCAACTACATGCTTGAATTCAACAAAACTTTGTGGGAACCTTCAATACCAAAAGGGGATGCGCATATCGTCGCCTTGTTACGGTCAGACCCTTTAACTCAGAGTTATGACCATTGATTAGTTATGCAGTATGTATATAGAGCAAGAATCGTTTCCGTGCTACTTCTCTGCAACTACTGGCTGGAATTCAACGAAACTTCATGGAGATCATCAATATCAAGAGGAGATGCGCATATCCTTGGCTTGTTCCGTCAGACCTTTTAACTCAGAGTTATGGTCCTTGATTAGTTATGCAATATGCATATATGCGCATCTCCTCTTGATATTGAAGGTTCCCACAAAGTTTTCTTGTAATCAAAAGAAATAGCAAAAGTGCTCTATATGCAAAATGCACAACTTATCAAGGGTCATGACTGAGTTAAAGGGTTTGACCGGCACAAGTTGACGATATGCGCATCTCCTCTTGGTATTGAATGTTCCCATAAAGTTTCGTTGAATTCCAGCCAGTAGTGGCAGAGAACTAGCGCGGAAACGGAATTCAGACGGACGGTCGGACAACGCTAAAACGGGGGATAATGAACAAAAGGATACACATATAATTGGTTTTATTTAATGATTATTGCTGAAATAACAAGAATAAAGATCAACAAGGCAAAGGTGTTCACAGGACGCCGCCCCCGGACACACCCAAGAGGCACCAAACAAAAACCTGTGAACAGCCTGACTTTTATAACTGTTCAAATAAAGAAAAGATCAAGATTCATGAGAAAAAGTTTGAAACATGTTTTTTTTAAACTAACGAAACGTTATTCTCATTTGTGTTTCAAATGTCCTTTTCCCATTCGTTATTACCATTCTCAAGTGAAATTTTGTTTTTATCGATCAATCTTATTTCAATTGACTATGCTTAGATAACTTTCATGGCATTGAGTCGAAACATCGGTTCTTCAGCACGGCATTATTGTTGTGCTTGTGGTATTTTAGTTCTTTCTATTCGGATCTTTCTTTATGGGTGGTTTCAGTTTTCCTCAATTGAATACTGTCGAATCACCCTAAGGATATGTGACCTGCTTTTTAAATTTGTCTTTTGACGTCATATCTGTGATATGCAGTCTTCATAACCTCAGTTCCCCTTTCAAATTTCCATTTAATTTAGTTTCGCCAATTGTTTTCTATTTTAGGGCACACGCATTTTTTACTTGGGGCCAAATGCCGCTTTTCATGGAATGGCACTAACGTGTCACATTGAAGGTTTCATGATAGCCGCCATATGAACACATCTGCGGATGTTTCAAAATTCTAAATTTTACCAGTTCATGTTAATTGTTGAATTCTGCTTAAGCCGGTGCTAGGGGGGCGTGGACGGTACTTTGCACTTGACAGTTCCGTCCACAAACAGGCTCAATCAAACCGAGCCTGCAACATTTTCCCACATTGTTCACATTTACTAAAAATAAGGGACTAAGAGCATTTGTTATGCAGTCAGCAATCGGCTGTATAATATTTGAGAAGTTTCATTGGTCAGAATTATATTTTTTCTTAAGTTTACCTTTGAAATTGTTCAAACAGTAGAAAAAGAGAGAACCACAGGCATGAGTATCGGACCTGGGAAGAAAATATGACCATATTGATAATACAAACCTCTGTGTTATAAATTTATTTATCTAAGAGAAAAAACTTTTTACCTACATGTATTGGTTTTAAAAATAGTTTGAAATTAGCATGGAATATCTATAGAAATACAAATTTGACAGATGATGAAAATAATAGATGGTCAATTATAAGATCCTTAATTGTTTAACCTACTCTTAATATGTGAAAAAGAACTTTACCTCGTAACAGATTATTTAATTGTTCAATAATAGTAGTATTTTTTTATTGGTAAAATATTTTGGAAAATAGATGGGTTTATTGTATGTATGTTTATATTTATATACAAAGTATATACTGTAGATGTATATTTGACAATATTTACAGTAATATAATTATTTTGCAATATATAAAAAAACCTCTGTGTTCATCTAAATGTTTCAAAGAAAAAAGTGAAATATTTGTCCTCTTAAAATATGCTGTAAGTTAAAAGAAGGCCTGAAACTCTAGATTCGAGCTTACGAGCAAGGGGTTCATTTCCCGGGACGTTGTGAAAACAATTGTCCAGATAATTAAAAAAACTTTTATCACTATTTCACATTTGTATTAAGCTTCCAAATGAGACAGACCCGAAGTCTCTAGCCCTTCCCGTTTATGAAATATACATCGGTTAATGAGCGCACCCTACCAAAATTCCCAGGTAGACAAAAAGTGGCACAACCTTTAGGTACGAAAAATAGACTAATAAATTTTTGTGCGCCGAATACGGATCAAAATCACTTGAATTTACTAAAAAAAATATTACTTAATACATTAAATGGGACCACTCACAACCGTCCGTAGCATCTGATAAACGCAAAATTCGTTACTTTCGATTGCTTTCTACGCCATTGGGCATCCTTGTGCGAAACGTTACGGTTTCTTTGCTATTGGAAAATCACAAGACTCCTTACAAAATACCTCACAGATGATTTACAATGGCATAGAAATGACTCGAAGGACCGTTGTGAGGTTTGAAACTCGAATTTCGCGTGTATCAGATGCTACTGATATATAAACATGTAGCAGGGTCATATTTTCGTATGACAGTATTATGAAACGTGTCAGCTCTTTCCGGTGTTTTATTTCTTTAGGTTTTGATAAGTTCTTGCTGGTCTTTTATTTTCTTGTTTTCTTTGTGATCTCGCGAGAGTTTGGCGGGAATGTTGTGCAGGTTTTGAAAAGAGTTTACATGGTTGATGTAGAGAACATTCTGTTAATTTGAACTTGTTTATATGATTTATATTTGGTTGAGCTATCCAAGTGTTTGTGAGAAGTATTTAAGGTAGTTCTGTGATGGCTGAAATGATTATTTATTATTCGGTTTATTTGCAATGTTGTATTTTACAGCGCGTTGAATGTTCCAAAATGCCAGTCATTTACTTTCTCTTTCAATTCTATATTTTTTATAACCAGCATGTATTATATGTTTTAATCTTGTTCACAGTTAACCATCACGTGAGACAGGATGTATGTGAAGTGAAATGATGTAAATTATAACATTGTATTGTGGAATAGGCTTAACATCCCTTAGATCTGTAAGTATAAGAGTATGTTGGTATTTATACCTTTTGTAATAATGTAAACATTATACATGTAATGTTTAACTGATAAGACATAAGAATACAAATGCTTTAATCATTTCGTGATCTTAATGTCTATAGTAATAAGATGTTTATTAAATGCTATGTTTATTGTTTGTATATATTATATGTGCAAACATTGTTATTATTATGTCATTTCAGTGCCTTGATTAAAGTTGACTTCAATAGAGAAGATATATTGTATATTCATGAGATTGACTGTATATGTAAATTGGAAACAATAAAATGAATTACCACATCTACCCTGTGTTATAACACCATGTGTTACAAACATTTGAACAAATGTATCTGAACTGTATCATTCATATACATACCAGACCTGGGTATGATTACAATGATCAGTAATTGATTTAATTACAATTACTTTCAGATTTTATTGTAATTGATTATTATTGATTACTCAGACTCGCCTCTGTAATCAATTAAATTACAATTACTTCAAGAGAGTGATTGATTGATTATTGATTACATTCAATATAAGGTAGAATCCCTTCTTAACCCTTTCCCTCTTGAGCATATTGTGAAAAATAGCTGTTTTCATTAAAAAGTCTCCTATTACAAGTTCAAACTGCTATGAAACAATGAAATATGCTTCAATACTTATCAAACTTGGCACAAACGTTAACTGGATCATTTTTTTTGTCACGACAATTTCCTGTTACCATGGCAACGAGGGGACATCTCAAAATTGCCAAAAATCACTATTTTGCGTTGATTTTTTCCATCAAAATTGATTTCAAAGTGCTGCAACTTCTCAATGGATTGAGATAGAGTCAAAGGCTTTTCAGCGTTGGTTACAAAGTACCTAATGAATAATACCGATCGACCTAGGGTCATTTTTAGCCTCTCACAAGCCCAAAATTTTTATTGGCGATGAGGGAGACTACCGCCCCCTTCAAATCCCCAAAACAGAAGGGGGCACATCCCCCTTCTGGCAACCCCCTGATGGATGTACCTTTTGGATGGGGGGCGGCGCCAAAAAAGTGATCATTTTTTAGCAACATTTCCCAAACAAAAAACATATGTTTTGGGCCTAAATAGGGTAATTTTTCACTGTTTGAGGCCTTAAAAAAGGGGGGGGGGGGTCGAAAAGCCGTCAAAACACGTCTATATGAAGTAAATGGTTAAAACCACCCCTGAATTAAGACCTTCCCCTTAATAAGACTATTTTTCACAAGGTTCTTTATGTCAATGGTTACATGATCCAGAATTAAGAACAAACGCTTATCCACTTTTAAGACCACCTGATTCAGTCCAAATTCTTTGCTTTATTCTTAATTTGACCCAACTATTGAGACCACTGATATTAAAGTCAACACCTATCTAGATCTTAAGTTTGTTGTTATGATCTGCATGAAACTTAATTTAAAAAGGTGTGAAAAACTGTTGTTATTGGGTTATTGTATGAAAAAAGGTGAGAAAGTAAATTTTAGAGTGGTATAATGTTGCTTTCAGCAAATTCATTTTGTGAAAAATTAATTTTTATTTGATAGGTGATTTATGTAAATCATATAATTGATATTGAAAACTGACCAAACAGAATTTAATGTTAAATTTCTTCAGAAATATGTTTTCCTCTCATCAGATATAAAAGCATACTTTTATAGTGTTTTTTATATTGTATTTGTAGATTTAGATACATACTGTTTTTTTCCCATACAAAATGACTACAACAGACCATGCTCATAAAGTATGTCAGCAATGATAAGAATATTCACAATTACTTCTACTTCTACTTCTATGTTGATCTCGTCTGTAAATCCGCTGTGCAGACATCAGCGACGAGTGGTGATGTGAAATGTGCTCCATTAAAAACGTGGGCTAAAAACCTGTCCCCCATGTGCGGCACCAGGCGTTCGAGTTAAAATAATGTGAAAACGTAGTGTGAAGTAAAATCCAACATGTTTGTACACTATACATGATTTTAATAATTTACACATATACGTATGACTGGACAGCGGTTTTAAAACTGTCCAGATTGTCCACAGATGTGATGTTAGTTGGTAAGTTGTTCCAATAAGGTACAGTTCTTGGAAAGAATGAATGTTTGTACGCATTAAGTCTGCAGTGATAAGTGACGAACTTTACCGAGTTTGTGTATCTTGTAGATAGTTGTGGGTGGTATTCAACTGGTACAGCCACCAGGTTATTAAACACTTTATACATAAGAATTAAGTCCGCACACTGACGACGTTGTTCAAGTGTTGGCCATTTAAGGTCGTGTAGCATTGATGTTACGCTAGATGGATTGTTACGATTGAATGGTTTATTCATGACGAATCTTGCCGCATTCCGTTGTATTTGTTCAAGTTTCTTTGATGTATTAAGTTGTTGTGGATTCCAAATTGGTGACGCATATTCCAGTTTAGGTCGAACCAAAGTTTGATAAGCTCTTTCCTTTACTGTGGTCGGGCAATGTTTTAAGTTCCGTTTGATGAAACCAAGAGTACTAGAAGCTTTTGCTGTGATTGAATCGATGTGTAGGTTGTATTTCATAGTATCTGCTAGTTCAACTCCCAGATATGGATGGTTTTTAACAATATGTAGTGATTGATTTTTCATTTTGTAGTCAAATACAGATTTGTTACGTTTATTTGTTATTGACATGGTTGCACATTTATCGACGTTAAATTCCATTTGCCAGATATTACTCCAATCAACTAAGGTGTCCAGGTCTTTTTGTAAAATATTATGATCTTCACTGGTGAGTATGGGTCTATAAATGACACAATCGTCAGCAAATAGGCGAATTGATGACTTAATATCCGAGGCGATGTCGTTAATATATAGTAAAAACAATGCAGGACCAAGCACGGTTCCCTGGGGCACGCCAGATGTTACCAGTGACGGTCTTGATGATTCTCCGTCTACTACTACTCGTTGATAACGACCGTTAAGGAATTCATTAATCCATAAGTTGGTTTCATTACATATACCATAATATTGCATTTTCACAGAGAGACGCTGATGTGATACTTTATCGAAAGCCTTAGAAAAGTCAAGCACCGCCATATCAACCTGGTGACCAAGATTAACACTACGAGCAATGTCATCTGTAGTTAATAGAAGTTGAGATTCACACGAGCGTTTAGCCCTGAACCCATGTTGGTTTTCATGAAGAATGTTCTGGCTGTCTAAATGGTTCATTACTTGTGAGACTATTATATGTTCAATCATTTTAGAAACAACTGCGGTTAAGCTTACCGGGCGGTAGTTCGATGGTTTGGTTCTGTCGCCTTTTTTGAAAATTGGTACAATGTTAGCGTTTTTCCAGTCCAATGGTACTTCAGATTTATCAATTGACTGTTGGAATAAAGACCGTATAATTGGTGCTATTTCAGTTACACATTCTTTCAATACTATGATAGGTATTTTATCTGGCCCAGAAGCTTTCTTGGGATTAAGTCTGTTAATACACTTAACAACACCATTTAATGTAACGTTTATCTTGGGCATCGAGCGGTATGGCGAAGATCCTTTATTAGGTAGATTGTCCAAAGATTCTTTCGTAAATACTGAACAAAATTGGTTGTTAAGCATTTCTGCCTTATGACTAGCGGATTCGGCGATTTGACCGTTGTTTTTCAATGTTCCAATGTTCACGCTGTCTTGTTTACGAGACTTTATATATTTCCAAAAGGATTTCGAAGATTTATCATTTTCTGGATCTAGAAGATTACTGATGTAATTGTAGTAGGAAGTATGTAATTTATTCCTTACAGTTTTGCGAAGGTCACTAAATGTTTTATAGTCACTTGCGTTATTACTTTTTCTTGCAATGTTATATAAGTAGCGTTTTTTCTTAATAAGCCGTTTGATATTCTTTGATAACCACGGTATGTCCGATTTCCCTTTTACAGTTTTCTTCGGTATATATTGTTCCATTGATTCTAATAATATTTGTTTAAAATTGTTCCAGTTTACATCAACTGTGTTGTTATGCATATTACGCAGAAACTCGTGTTGAAATGATAGCACACGGTCTTTAATTTTCCGCCAGTCCGCTTTTCTATAATTAAACACGGTTCTCGGCGGTAGTTTGTTAATAACCGGTTTGATAAATGTTGTTACAGATAAGATATCATGGTCACTAAGCCCGATAGGTGGTCCGACTACGTGTCGTTGTATGAGTGTTGGATGGCTCGTAAAGAATAAGTCTAAAATCCTACCCTTACGTGTAGGGGTTCTGTTAATTTGTTCAATAAAACAGGTTGAAGTTATATCGATTAATTTATCACAAAAAGTCTTATCCCTAGCATTTGGCAATGTACATCCATTATCCCAGTCCACGTCTCCGAGGTTGAAATCACCCCCTAGAAATTTCTTCATATTTTTGTATGGACCACTTTGGTCCAGAATCAAGGGCTTTTACTGTATAAATTTAAAACAAAAGTTAAACTGTATCATGTAAAATAAAGGCATCCTTTGAATTAATATAGTTTCCTGTTAAATCTGAAGGTAATCAATGTTAGTCAAATTGTAATCATAATTACTGACTGAATTTTAGCTGTAATTGATAAATTACAATTAAATTAATCATTTTTTGGGCAAGGTAATCAATTACATGATGATTACAGTGTAATCATGTAATCAATTAAAAAATCAATGATTACAATTAATGATTACCCCAGGTCTGATACATACAAAAGGCAGTGAAGGAAATACTTTTTCTTAGTATATGAAACTAGAATTTCAGAAAATTACAATGAATAATTATTTTACCTAGTAATGTGTTTTTGTTCTGACAATTACATTTTAATATAACATAACTATCTGCAAATTGTAATCATATCATAACTATCTGCAAATTGTAATCATATAAATGAAAGTAAAATACAACGAGCTAGTGGGTATGTTCGTCAATACATTTTTCATAAAAGGATAGAAACAACTTGACAAAAGTGCCTTTAAAACACAACAATTCTATCATTCATTATAATCATATTGTTTTGTTTGTTTGTTTTTTTTTTGTTTGTTTTATTTTACGCCTTTTCTGAGCAGTATTTCAGTCATATAGGCAAGTAGTTTCCTAACCATCGTTCCTGGAGAGTTACAACAGTACTAGACTACCTTCTTCCATGCTAAACTACCATAGCATCTCCCGGGGATCGAACCCACGCCAGAGAGGTAACTGGATTAGAAGTCATCGACTCTAACACCTCGACCACGCAGGCGGTTATAATCATATTTTCAACATGATTTTAATACACGAGTGCCAGTTCTTACAAGAATATGATAGATTCCTAAAATTCAGGCTTATTCAAGTTATC